TTTGCACCAAATCTCAGAACTAGGAGGGGCAGTAGTGGGGCTCCAATCCAATGACGAGTAAAGGGTCCTGTCCAACACTTTATATCACTTTCCTGAAATGGTTTTTATTTTGCAAGAGAAATAAGGCTTCATCTCCTGCAATCTTAAGTTAAATCTCACTGTATTTAAATGACAAAGAATAAAAATAAGTAGTTTCTTTTAGTCCCAGTCAGAAAAGCAAGCACGGTACTGGATTGTTTATGTATGCCCTAGATGAGAATGTGATGCTGTCATTTTGTTGGTTGATATTTTCCCCCATGGAATCAGTTCTGTACTCATTTTAGTTCAACCAGCATTGAATTGAACAACCACTATATAGCAACCAATATGTCCTGGCTCTTGTCCCAACAGCCCTTTGTGGAGACAGACAAGTAAACACACAACACCTCACGGTACTCTGAGTGCTGTGATCGAGAAGTATTCACCGGCTGCTAGGAGAGCCCAGGGGAGAGGGGGTGTCATAAGAAAGGCTTTCTGCTGGGGGAGACATCTAAGATTAGTTGTGAAGGATGAGTAGGAGTTCTTCAAACAAAGAAGGGTGGAAAGAAATTCCAGGCAAGTTCAGAGATGTGGAGATAGGAGACAGCAAGAATAAATATAGTTTCTGCCAATGGGCACAGTTTCTGGATGGGGGAAGGACGGCCATTTTAAAGGTGAATGACGTGTAATCGTAATCATCACTAATGCTCACATACTGCCTCCCAAGCACCGGGCTATATTCCAAGCACTTTACATATACAAATGCATTTAATCCTTACAGTCACCTGGGAGGTAGGGGCAAGGATCACTCCCAATTGCAACAGAGAACTGAAGCACAAACATATGAAGCAACTTAGTATTTGATGGCCTGTGCTTTACACATTGTGCTATTATGCTGTCTTTGAAACGTGTGTGTGTATGTGTGCCTGTGTGTGAAAGAGAGAACATGAAAAAGCTCCAAAGACAGAAAGAAAGAAGACCAAAGTTTTGGGAAACATGTAAATTTTGGAAAACATTAAACCAGCGGAGGGGATTTATTCTAGAGAAGAGGGCTGAGAAGGCAGCATGAAGAAAAGGAACCTCAGTAATGTTAAGGAGCCTATAAGTTAAACTCAAGTAAGAATTTTCTGCTGATTAGAAGTAAGGTAAGTCAGTCGTGTGTCACCCAGGGGAGCTGCCAACTCTGCTTCCTGCAGGTTGTGCTCCTTGGAAATATTTTGAATTGGTCTGAATCCTACCAGATGACTTGAGCAGGATGTGAAGCAGACACATAAGTTTGTTGTAAGCTCTTTGAGTGCACATATTCGATAAATATTAATTGAAGGCAAACCAAATTTGGTGCTATAACTAAGATGAGTAACATTAATCGAGAACACCTCTCATGTTATGCATAGGTGTTATGCTTCATGGCCAACAGGTAAAAATTCTATAAGGAAAGTTTTGCCTTTTCTGTCTTCTCTTTTTTGAGGACTTTGGTATAGATAAGCTATCACTGGCTATGAAGAAGTTTCATGTTCCATTTGCAATCCACTTCTGGCAAGGTAAAAAAAACTTTGTGTTATTAATTACTAATCTTGTCCCCCTTTCATCTTATTTTTTTGATGCTTATTTCCTCCCCATAGTCACTATTTAAAAATAAATTATTGCACTATATGTATCTTTGAAAATGACCACGACTTCTTTTGAAACAAGATATGGTATAATTAAATACACATGTAAAACAGATGTTACTTGGAGATTAGGTAAAAATTAGTTTATCCCCCACCTCAGGACCTCAAAGTATCCCCATGATTTCTATACTCCTGTGGGCCATGTCAGTTCAGCCCTGTTTATTCTTTTTTTTTTTTTTCACTCATTCTTTCAACAAGTGTCTACTGACCTCCTTCCACAGCCCGGGCATTATGATAGGCAATAACAACACAATGGGGCAAACACAGGCAATTTCCAGTTCCGGCAGAATTTAAATTCCAGTGAGTGAAAGGCAGACAAACAAACAAAAGTGAGGAATTCAATGCATGAAAGGAGATTTTCAGATCGTGAAAAGTTTGATGAAGAAAGTGAAACAGAGTCCTATGAGGTCCTGAGAGGTAGTGAGTTTCCCTGGGGGGTTAGGGAAGTCCTCTCTGGAAGGTGGCTGCTGGCTGAAACCTGAATGGCCCAGCTTGGCAGCCTACAGATCTGGAGGAGGGGGTTCCTGGCAAAGGAAACCACCAGGGCCAAAGCTTTGAGGGCAGGCTGAGCTGGGCACATTTCAAAGACAAGGGAGGCCTGAGTAGCAGAGATTAGTTGCACTCAGGAGAGAAGGGGTGGCTATGGGGGATGAGCAGCCAGAAGGGGCCAGATCATACGGTGCTTTGTAACCAGGAGAAAGAGGTGGACGTTTCTTCTGAGTGCGGGTCCTAAGGGATCTGACTGCTGATTTTAAAGAGGTCAGTGTTTCTGTTTTGTGGAGAAAAGATTGAACAGAAGCAGGAACGGAAACAGAGCACCCATTAGGAGGTTCTTGCATTTTCCAAGGGAGAGAACAAGGCTGCTTGAACTACGAGGTACTAGACAGGCAGGTAGAAGTAGGTGGAGTCACTCTCCATTGTAGAGATACTGAGAGAGGCAAACCTCCCTCCTGAGTCCGCCACCTACTCCCTTTGATGGCTTCTGCAAGAAACTCAATTGAACCAACTGGAATTTTTGGAAATTTATGAAAGATTTGTAGGACCCTGGGGAGGGGTTCACCTTGGGGAACATGTGAGTATCTTGGACACCACCCCATTTGTTTCACTCTGCCCCTCTGGGTTTTTTTGTTTTTGTTTTTGTTTTTAATAGACATTGTTTCCCTCTTGTGGCCCAGGCTGGAGTGCAATGGCACAGTCTCCGATCACTGCAACCTCCACCTCCTGGGTTCAAGTGGTTCTCCTGCCTCAGCCTCCCGAGTAGCTGAGATTACAGGCATGCACCACCACACCCAGCTAATTTTGTAGTTTTAGTAGAGACAGGGTTTCACCATCTTGGTCAGGCTGGTCTCAAACTCCTGACCTCAGATGATCCACCTGCCTCGGCCTCCCAAAGTGCTGCGATTACAGGCGTGAGCCACCACACCCAGCCTCACTCTGCCCTTTTTAAGGGTCCCTAGTGCTTCCCCATGGCCCTCCCCTCTTAGCAGATTCTCTAACACATGTAATCCTGCCCCTACAACCAGCTTTCTCCAAGGGAGCAGTCCATCTGCATCAGCGTCAGTTTAAGATCATCACAAGCATATTAACTGGCATGGAAATCCACCCACATTCCATTAAATATTATTTACATGAGTTGACTTGTGGCCGACTAGATGATACAGCGTCATGGTTTGCAGACATTTTATTAAGCATTTATCTTGATTTTATGATTTACTTTTCTGTCGTTGTAATCTATCTATATTTTCTCAGACCTCAAACATTTTGTAGGACATTGCAAAGCTCATGTCCCCTGTGTCTGTGGGGCCTAATGATTCAAACAGCTGTGACCGGGCCTGCCTGTGTGGCCCAGCCTCACTGGTATTCTAATGAATAACATCATCTCCATCTCACTGCACAGAAGTATGAACGGTGTCAGCAGGTTTCCATGACACCACCCGCGATGGAGAGCACACATCTCTCCCACACTCCGCGGGTTACCAGGCCCTGGCAGCGCAGACCAGGCCTCCTGGGCTGCCTTCCTCCCTCTGGCTCGGCTCACTCCCACGCTCTGCTCCCCAGACCTCCAGCCCAGAAGGAGGGACCCAGAGCCTGAGGCAGGAGAAATTTCGAGGCAGAGACTGGAATTGAGGGTGAGGCCCAGGCCAGGCCAGATAGAAAACACTGTGAGAAAGGACTGAGGCCTCCACATGCTAGAATCTTGTGGAAAGAAGTAGAGGCAACGTTGGGAATGAGAGAGACAGGAGGGAGCAGAAGTGTAGTGAGGAAGCGAGATGGGGAAACACTTGGGAAGACAGACATGCATCTGGAAGATTCCAGAAAAGGTCATTTCATCCAGCCCTGCTCCAGCAGTTAGTGTTTCAGCAGCCAGACGGGACACCTGGCCTTTCCTTTCTGACATCGTTCTCCATCCATCCAGCACTTCTCGGAGATCACAAAGGGCTCTCCACACGAGGAGACTTTTGAAACTAAGAAACAGATTTGGACGTTGCACATGTTTGCTCTGGAGCCATACTGCTTGAGCTCAAATCCCAGATTCATGGCTTCATCACCTGTAGACCTACTCCACATGCCTGTGCCTCAGTTTCCTCAGCTGTGGAGTGGAGTGGTAATAGTTCCTACTTTTACTGAGTCATTGTGAAGTTTCCTGTGAAAGGCCTAGCATATGAAAAGCATTCCGTAAATGTTTAGCTGTTATTATTTCAAGGAATTGTAAGAATAATATCACTGAATTGTGGAATATCATTACTGTTTACATTTAACAAATTATACGCTTCAATTAAAAAATGCAATGGCATATAACTGTGATATTTACAGGTAATTATAGAAGTTAGGGGTTTTTTTTTTCTATTTAATTAAATTATAGCACTCTAGAAGTAGGATGGTTCAGTCATGGAAAGTGAGTTTAGAGTTGAATGAGAAGTATCTGTGTTATGACCATATTTATAACCTCATTTGGAGGCAATGTTAAAAGCCCAAATTTGAAGTCCTTTGTAAATGTTTGTCTCCAAGCCAAATGCTTTTCTGGGTCCCCTTCCTGACTCCTGCTCCAACCCCCATATCTTGAAATGACTAGGGCAGAAAAGGGTGGGGGAGTTGGAATAGATTACTTCCTGTCTCTGATTTTACAATTATATTAACAGGACATAAGGCCTTTACCTCTACAGCTGGATGATTTATATGTTTATATATATCAAACACACACACACACACACACACACACACACACACACAGACACACACACCGAGAGAGAGAGAGAGAGAGACAGAAAAAGAGACACACACAGAGAGATGCAGCTTAAGATGTCAGCATAGATCCTTTTGTAATTCATGAGCATGATGATGGGATATCACACTCGTGTGAGATATGCCTCCCTCAAACCTTCTTCCTGTTGGTTGGAACTTTGCCCACCTGACATGAAAAAAAAAAGTCAATGTAGAAGGAGAGCTAATGCAAGGCTAAAACTCATTTGTCCTGTAAACAACTGAAGGCAGGCCAGTCTTTGAGAAGATGAAGGCCTACAAGTACTAGCCAAAAGAGAAGGGTGGGGATGACAGGTAAACTTTCCCTACTTCACAATTTTGTTTTAACTCATATATGCCCAATAGAAGCTGTGTGTAATACAAGCAAAAAACGAATGACCTTCTACCAAATGGCACTCTTCATGGCTGCAAATGTGAGCCTAAATTATAGTAGTCTGTAATGTGGCAGACTCAAGAGGGACACGACGTTAACATTGCCCCATGGTTTCCCCTGGAAACACTAATGCCATGCATGAAGGGCTTTGTAGCTGCTAACCCATTGCAGAACTTTAGAAACTGGAGCCTTGCCATCTCTGAGAGAAGCTGAGATGAAAAGTCTATCTAGAGTACAGCAGACTGGCTGACCTTTCAAAGGCCCTTTTATCCTGGAGAGTCTGTGGTTTTGATGTAGTGTTGAGTATTTTTTACCTTTCTCTCAAGAAGTGTTAGTAAGTAGATGAAAAATAAGGTATGGTTCTGCACTAATACAATAATTCCCCCATGCATTTTTAAAGGTTTTTAAAAATAGACAAGAATTATGGTCATATAATAAGTATCAATAATCCAAACATGATGAGAAATTTAAATTTGTCTCCTTTGCAGATCTAAGAGTTCAAAATTGCTATGAAGGCATATTTTGGGGGGGATACTATTTTATAAATATGGGAGACAAGTCATTGTTGCTTTGCACATCATAGGAAGACAGCCCTTTTTGGAGTGAATGAGTTTTAAGGAAGCTTTTCATGTCTTAATGTTAATTATTTGGGTGGAAATAAAGTCATTGGATAATGATAACTTTAAAAAATAGGTAATATTTATTAAATGCAGTCTATCTCAGTTATCTAGTGCTGGGTAACAGACCACAGAATTTAGTTTCTTAAGATAATATTTCATTATTTCTTAAGGTTTTATGTATTGATTGAGCTCAGCTGGAAGGTTTTTCTGCCTCACATGGTGTCTGTTGAGACTGGAATGGCCAAGATAGCTGTCTAGTGCCTCAGTTGGCCTGGATGAAAGAGCTTGGGTTTGGCTGGGCATTTCTCTCTCTCTCTCCAGGTGGTCTCTCCAGGACAACCTAATCTCTTTATATGGTGGCTCAGGGCTCTAAGAGCAAGTGTCCCAGGAGGATAAACTCCTATTTACAACCACTTATTAAGACTCTGCTTCCATACCATTTGCTAGAATCCCAATGGCCAAAGCAAGCTACACAGCCAAGTCCAGAGTCAATGGGAGATGGAACTACATAAGGACTTAAATATTTGAAGGCATGGCTCATTTGGGGTCATGTCACCAGTGTAACAGTCAACCACAGAAGTTACACACCACACTTTGGATTGGGCACTTTACATCCATTTGTCTTCTTTAAAAATAATAATTTAAAAATCCTATGAAGTGGATACTATTTACAATTTTCATTCTAAATAGACACAGAGAGGTTAGGTTACTTGAACAAAGTCATACTGGTAAAAAAAAATGGCAGAGCTGGGATTAAATCCAAGCCATCTGACCCTAGAACCTGAACTTACAAATCTAAAGGCACAAACACAAGAGTAAGAAATTATTAACTTCTAGAAGTAAATGATATTCCAGAAATACTTAGGTAATAATTGGTTTGAGAATTTATACATTCAATAGCAATTATAATAATTTTGTCCTGCTTTTTGAAGAGAGGTCTAAAAGCATTGTGAATCACAGAGGCAAGAGCAGTAGCTTGATCTGGGTAACAATTGTATTCTTCCTTATTCATTGAGTTACTCAATGTCTTAATTTCCTCAACTATAAAATGAGAATAGTAATACTATCTAACTTGCAAGTCTGTGATAAGGTTAAGTTAGATAATATAGTGAGCATAAAGTACCTAAAATATTCTTGATGCATAGAAGGTGCTCATGGCCATATGTGAGAGTGCTTGGTAGACACAGCTGACTATGGTAGGTAGGAAATGTGGGAAGCAGGTCTCAGGGTTTCACGATCTCCTTCATTAGCTCTCTGGGGAATGACTAGGATGCTGAGTTTAAACCACAGGATAGGCTATTATCCTACCCATGGGTGGGAATCATGGGTCAGAACAGGGTGGGAGAAATTACTAGTTTGCCACACCTCACTCTAGGAATACTGAAAAAATAGACACCATGGTTCCTGGGAGACTTACAACTGGTATCACCACAGAACTAGTCTAAGTAACCCATCCCAACTTGACCAGGCTGTATTATCTGCAAATTTAATCCTACCCTAAAAATGTTTCAGGACACTTCCCAAATTTGGCATGTACTAACTCAGTAAGGATCAGTTATCTAGGTCTGACCACCTTCCAGCAGAAAAACTGTTTTGATGTTAGTGAAGATGTGGATAAAAGGGAAGATAGGGAAAGCAATTCATCATGGATAACTTTCCAAACCTTAGTTTCCATTGTCTGGTTACGCCAGCTGCTGTCTGCTGGTTTTGAGGCAATTTACAGCTGGAAGTAACAGGACTCCACATTTCTTCATTTGGGGTCGAATGATGGCTTTTTCCATGATATTATGGTCACAGTTTTATAACATGAGTTATGGCAGCTTTAAATTACAGCCACAATATTATGGGTAAAAGGATAAATCCCTCACTTCCTTCTTTTATCTCTGAAGCAGTCGGGAGTGGGGAGGAGGCCACTTACCCCAAAGCAATAAAATGAGGGTGGGAGATGTGCCTGTGTCAAAAAAGGCAGCTGGCAGCATGCTTTGCTGAAATGCTCTCAGATGCAAATTCGTTATTACACAAATCTCTCTTCCCCAGTTGCAGAAGGACAAAGTGAAAGAGGATGATTAAGGAGAAACCCTCAATCTTCAGAGCAAGCCCTTTTAAGATCTACTCATTCCACATATGCCCCTGTTAGCATATTGTCCAAACAATGCTCTCTGAGGACTCAAGGAAACTTTTCCCAAAGCTTCATTTTTGGGGTTTTTAAAGGTAGTTTTCCATAATTCATTGAACGTGTTTCTTTCTCACGATCTCACATGCTTCAGTAATTCTTGAGTGCAGCGCCTCGATTCTGTAGTACAGCTTCTGTTTCACTAGCTGTTAAACTCACAGAAGTTTCTTTACCTCTTTAAATGCAGTTTCATCATCTATAAAATATACATAATAACCCCTGTGTCACAGTGTTATTGTGGGAGCGAAACGAAGTCATTTGCCCCTTCCTTCCTCTCACCTTTCACCCCCGGATGCTATCAGTTCTGTATCCCACATGTCTCTGGGATGGATTCCCTTTTCGTCATTGTCTGCTGACACATCATCTGTCACCTGGACCTGGCAGCACCCTCCATCCCCCACCACAGATGCCGGAGGGCTCTGTCAGAATGCACACCGACCCTCCTCCACCCAAAGCCCTTTGCTCACCCTCATTGGCTGTAGGCTAAGGTCCAAACTGGAGCAGAGCACTCAAGGCTCCATGATCCCGCCCTGAGGCACCCCCCAGCTTTAGCTTCCACCCATCTCGCTCTCCACACACAGTGTCCCACTTCACACAGCAGACGACGGCGTTTGCTTTTCCACCAAACTCTCTGTTTCTCTTTCTTGCTCTCTTTCTCAAGTCTCTTGTGTCTTTACACAAGTCACTTCCTCTGCACGGGGGCTCTAGTTCCTTTTTTCCACCCAGAACCTTCCCATGCACTCTTCAATACTCAGCACAGGAATCATCTTGTCCATGCAGTTTCCTTCTCCATCGCCCAGGAAGAGGCGGACTCCCCTTCCTCTGCACAACACCTCCTACCTCCATGCAGGCACTTTTCCGTTCATCGTAGTACAGTCTGCCCCACCTTGCTGTCAGCGGCAGCAACTCTCTTTGTAGCCTCAGGGTACTGCACAGGGCTATAGAGAAGAATGATTCAAAATATGTTGGCCTAAATGAACTAATAAATGCAAAGTTTTCTTCCTTTTAAAGGATGACTTTCCTATCGGCCTCCCTCCTGTCTCAAGAGGTCAAACTCACTTTTAGGAACAACGACAAACTGCATGGATCAAGCTCAGCTCAAAGCAGACAGGACAGGGAGGAGCCATCATTATCAGCACAAGCAAAATATAACGGGGACTTAAAATGATAAGACACCCAATGCTTAATTCTTACAACATTTATTTTATCAATGCTTACATCTATTTCAAAAAAGCATCTGGGGGTAGTTCATAAATATTAAGGCATCTTTAAAACATGACAAATTAAAGAAATAAAAGCCAGAACAAAAATATTTTAAAGGGAGCAGAGAACAAGGTGCCCCAGGCCCTTGGGATATTGTTGGCCTGTAAGAGTTGGGCTGGGGAGGAGGAAGGAAAAATGAGAAGTGGGAGCGTCCACGAGTGGTATAGCCTTTGAGAGGGGGACAAAAGCTTCTTATGAGATGGCAGAATTGAGAATCCAAGATTGTTACAACTGTGTGGTCACATGTGCAGTGGGCAAAGCTGAGATTTTTGGTTTAAGTTTTTGTATGGAATTTGTATTTTAGGCACATTTCTTGGTCCTCAGAAGACTATTAGAAGCCTAGGTTTATTTCTGAACAAAAGCATTCCCTTGTATTCTTTTCCTGGTTTAAAAATGGGTCTCTTAATTATAATGGAAAATACAATAAAAAGGGAATGTAAGCAGTATTTCCTTCCTTTATTAGAAAACTCCTAGGACTTCTAGTCCTGGGAAGAGAAGAGGCACTTGGGAGGCTCGGGAGCCAGCTCTGTGAAAGGCTCTGAGGCAGCAGCGTGGCAGTGAAGACGCCTCTCGGGTCACACACCCTTTTTCCACTTGTGCCTCTGCAATGGTGTTAATCAGGCCTTCAATCTCAGCATTTCAAGGAAAAAAGAAAATTATTTGAATGGACAGCTTTACAGTATATGCCAAAAAGAAACTGGACGCTGAAGGACGACGTTGAAAGA